ATTTAAATTGGTAATCAAGCCTTTTAAAAACTTTTTAACCATAATAAACCATGCATAAGTTGCTATATTGTTCTGTTAGCTTAATTAGCATGGTGTAACGTGTCTTTGTTTACGTCTCTGGGGATGAAAACCACGCGTGGAATCTTTTGGTGCTTATTTTACTTTACTGTATTTGCACAAAACTCATCAATCCCCAGCGCCTATATCTAAAAGAAATATATGCTAGCACAGCAGTTCAGTTAAGTTCCATAAATTCTATTATCATAGTATTTTTATATCTTTGCAGGAGAAAAAACAATGTACTTGTTCCTTTTTATCCATCATACCATTAACCTTGTTACAAGCAACTTCTTTATTGTGTTGTTTTATTTAAATTGCACATGCTAATTACTGTTCAGGGACCAGGTTTAGCTGTATTTTAAGCTGTGCATAAATCTACATTTATGTGTGATAAAAAAAAAAAAATCCTTTATTTTAGTCACATATATGGCAAAGTTGTTTGAGAACTAGATTAAATGTTAGCTTTGAACTGAGCTTGTTTTCATTTCGTGAGCAGTCTATCCTTATGACTTTTAATATGAAACGCAATGAACTTTTCCCTCTTTCTCAACTCATGAAAATTGAAGCCATTTTGCGGACAATACGACCACGATTTTATGGCAGTTATTTTAAATTGAAGCCGAGCCTTATTTATGTCTAATATACTTTCCATGTTTCCGTTTTCCATCCATGTAATGCCACTGCCACCTTGAGCTCGGCCCTCTTCTGTATGCGCTAATGGCTAACCTGGATTCTTACCGCTGTTTTCAATCACCATCTCTCTCCAAGGTTATTGGCCAAAATCCAAAGGTTGCTCTGCGATTCCACTTTATCAGGGGTGGTGGCCGAGCAGCATGAGGACTTAATAATAATTTGGTCTGTGTTTTACAGCTGTTACACAATGGACACTGTGTAAAGCTCTATGGCACCGGGGCCTCGGAGCCGGGACCAGAGCAGTTCTGCTGTACCGGGCCACCAGCAGACAAATACAAGGTAATATTAAACATTAGAGTAAAGGACAAGGCCATTTAATTGGAGGTAATCCAATCTGCATGCACAGCAATACATTGTGAATAGTGAGCAGCTTCCTACTGCAAAAAACGATTAATGGACTCGAAATCACAATTTTTGTGGTTGCATTAGGAAATCTAAAGATCACTTGAATATTTTCAATATTCAAGTATCTTTGGTTTTGTTGTCAGTCAGAAGCATTATTTTCTCATTCCTTTTTATATAACTGGAAACTGTTATACAGTATGTACAACTCAGGTCTGACTATTAGAATTTTGAGATTTTATTAATTAACTTGTTAATATTGTAAATATTTAACATTTGTGCAGTGAACATTGTCTAGGTAATTGATACAATGTTGTGTTTTACTCTGAACACAAATGTTAAGGATATAAACACAGAATTATTGTAAATAGAAGTTTGACCAAATTGGTGCAGCCCTAGGCCTTAATAGCTCTGATGTGCATAGTGTGAACGATCACTGTGGCAGCGGAGTGAACTTTTCCTTTGTGTGTTTGAGGAAGAGCATAAACAAGTCCATAGGTAAAAGTTTCTACAGTGGAAGCCATAGCACACTCTGATTATGCTAACAAGCTTCTCGCTGTAAACACGTTTAAAAATGTAAAAGTTTTCCACAGCAGAAATATAAAGAGCTGACTTATTTACTTTATGAGGGATCACTTCTAATGATGGAACTGACGTCTGTCAACAATGGCTTTTTGAGGAATAATGAATATATTTACAATGTAATTCAGAACTCCAGCTGCCTCTAGACAGTTGAGTTTCCCTTTATGCACCTCTGTATTTTATTCAAAGCAGAAGCTCACCAAAGGAAAATCTCCTATTATACAGCCTAACACTGCAGCCTGAGGAGAAACACTGGGTAAAACAGTGACTTAATATTTAATATTGGGTAGATTATTCATCCACACAAAGACATTTCCCTTTTTTCTTCCCTCACATTGCAACGTCCTCATTAAAAATGGGACACTGCACATTGAAACTTTTTAAAAATTCAAATATTTTCCTTCAATCTTTAAAGAGCTTATATCTAATGAACTAAGATTTAATTTGGCATGGCTTAACATCCATTTGCACTGTTCATAATTAGGAATGCAGACCTCGGTATTAAAATGAAGGGGCAAAGCCCTCAGTAAGTTCCCAAGTGAAACAAGAATTGGTTCCACTTTAAGTATTAATTGATTGGCTTTGCAGTATCCCTTACAGGAGCAGAGTACACACATCCATGCACGTATCCACTCCAGCCACCCCATGAACACACACACACACACATACATGCACACACACGTGCATATGGACATGCACGCACACACACACACACACACACACACACACACACACACACACACACACACACACACACACACACACACACACACACACACACACACACACAGACACACACAGAACACTCATTTCTCATCAATCTGCCGCTGCTTCATTTGCCTGTCTCTCAGTCCCCCAGAGAGGGACAACCTATCTGCTAGCGGAGCTTAGCATTTGATCACGAGTGTCAATATCAAACTGCAAAGCAGGATTAAACACTGCTGTCGTCAATAGTGTAATGGTTTTACATGTGTTAAGGTTAACTCAGCCATTTAATGTGCATAGTACCTCTGAGATAATAACTCAAAAAAGGACTTAAAAATGTCACAACGGCTCTGCATAGCTGGGCTGTGTGACTATACTCTGAGGGTCTTGTTGCATTTTCCTCTTTTCTAAGACTTGACAGCTTATGACTATGGAGTAGACCACTCTGACTGTATAAAACTAGTCTTCAAGGTATTCCCTGTGATGTGTGATCAGACTGTCTGCACTGTGCCTGAGAAGCTATTATTGATCACACGCTGACCTAATATAAATTCTGTTAACTGTTTATTAAGACGAGCTTTAGCTCCGCACAAAGACATTGTTTCATTGTTGATGATTTTATTACACTGTAGACCACATTTGTGATGAGTTAGGAGTCTTTGCTTTTGTGCTCTTTTGTTTGTGTGTGTGTGTGTTGTCCAATGTGTCTGTGTGTAGTTGTGTATTTATTATCACAAGGGGAAAAATATCACTCTCCTAGTGTAAACCATTGCCGCTGCAAGTGACAGCTAAAAATCCCCCACAATGCTGTGAATTAGGAGTCGCTCTATTAGACACATGATCACATGATGTGGGATTAGTGGACTGGAGTCTTCAAAGCTGCTATTACAACTCCTGAGATGTGATACAGGCTCCCCCACTGCACTCTGCAGGGGCGTGTGGCTCTTCCTCAGAGAATTACCTGACACCGGCGTGTCTGCGCTCTGGGAGACAAGTGCTGTGGCTCGGAGTGGAACAGCCAACATCAGTCGGAAATGCTCCCTCCATGCTGCGCTGAGCCAACAAACCCTGTTTTAATCCCATGTGTGAGCTGCCATCGTGGCGACATGAGTTGACATCAGAGCAAAGGAGTTAGGGTGCTAAGGCTGGAATGATGGGCCCTAAAGTGGATTACAGACGAGAAAATGTCATCAAGAAGGAATAGTTAGTCACACTTCAAATGGTTATAATAGGCCATGTGTAATCAAACTTGTATAATCTGGAGATGGAAGAATTAGGCTAGAGATATTTTATAGTTCAAAAGAAAGTCATGGTAAAATATAAATGCTGTTGGTTGGAGATTAACTTCCACTTTCAATCTTTTTTAAAAATACATTGCATTTTTCATTGAGCTGTCACGAGGTTACACCAGACTAATGATGACAATCCATATTGCAGGAAATTGAATATTGTGATTTCAGAAGGTGAACCTCTTATTATAATCAAAGGCTTTAAATAAATCATTGAATATGTGATTAATGTTAATGAGAATTTCACTTTTGGAAATGAAAAAGTAGTTTTGTTTTTGAGCCATAGTAGTATATGGTATTTAGACAATATGCAAGTTTAGGATTTTCTTGGTCCCAGATGACAATTAAAACATATGATACTTTATAACACATACTTTGTTAAATTGTGTAATTGTAAAGTCTATGAGTTTGCATAGAGCGGCATTCAAGCAAAAAAAAAATAGTGATCTGTAGAATACTGCCACTGGAATATAAACATTTACAATTTAGGACATTTAAGTTAAAAAATGACTTTTTACTACATAGATAATTACTTTTTTAAGGTGGACTTAACTTTAGGGCAGTATACAGTCTCCAAGTGCAATTATAACAAAAATATTGTTTTCCCCCACTGTGGAATGAATAAAGGATCTCTTCATCTTATGACTCAGACAATGTAAGATTTTATGTTCAGATTTTATTATTTATCTTAGTGCTCTTATTTCTACTGTCCTGTAGAATGTGCACAACTATAACACTGAAATTCCTTATCCTATCTTAAAAGTTATTTTTTTGAATTCCAAAACAATTGCATCATAAATATGTTGTTGAGAAGTATAAGTAGCAGTAGACAAACAAAACACCTTGCTGCTGTGGGACCCGATGTTTTCATCTCAATTTTATAGAATTGCTACAACTGCTGATAACACCACATCAAAACAAAGAACAAAAAGCACAAAATAAAAGTGAGCGCAATTTTGCCAAAGAAAAAGAAAAAAAGTGGTTGCGTTCTGAACTTCAAGTTACCTTTTTTAAAGCTGAACAGTGGGAATTCGGACCTCCCAGCGCAAACATTAACGGGCTGAAATGCAGCTCTGGATGTAACAAAGGAAACAATACCAGGGAAGAGAGCCAAGAAGGCAGAGCTGGCACGCCTGTTCCTGGGACCATGGGAATTTGGCTCCCAGAAATAATGGGGTTGAACAGGGCCCAGCACCACTGCTACTGTAGCAGGGAAAATGGTGCACCGCAAGCCAGGCTCCATCCGGGGAGACTTAAAACAACGCGGGAAGGGAGGTAAAAAAGAAATGAAATATACAGTATGGGCTACACCTCACAGTGTGAAGTGAGATGGCCAGAGTAATGGAGGTGGGGGGAGCCTGTCTTATGTTTGTCTCAAGTAAGTGCTTGTAAATCACAAAACTATGGCCGGCTTTGCGCTTGGATGTGAGCTAACATAATATGGTGCAAGGACAAATTCCTACCTGAGCAGGAAAAGAGAAAGGAAATAAAATAATAATAGCCAGGGCTATAAATGTCTCTGGAATAAGGGTTGCTCTGTGTGGCCCAAAGTTGAGTGACTGTAATAAATCCTATGCATATATGTATAATATTGGTAGTGTTAATGCTAGCAGCCCCACTCCAGCCTAATTAGGACAATAAAGGGTTATGGGCTAATGTATGACTGCCATGCCAAAGCTAATGAATGCCGGGTATACCTTGTTTCCTCCCAAGCGTCCTTGGACTGTCATCTCCAACCTTTTGATGTTGTATCTGATTATCCAGGCAGCGATTAATCATGATTAAGTAAGCACCAAGTCTCAGAGAGGCATGCAAAGCAAAAGCAGTAAAGGGTGGGTGGACAGCAGGAAAGTTGCCCAGGTTCAGGCCTTCATTCTGGGCAGCCCGGTGTCTATCTGCTGCCAAGTGGACACTGTAATGAGACGGCAAAGTAGAAAAATCATGGTGCCTTTAAAAGTGTTGTTAAAGGAAAGATTCATTATGTGATCCAAGCTAGAGTCGGAGCTTCCAAAGAAACGCTGTGTGGTTGCCATCAACTTGGATGTGGGAGCACGTTTTTCACATGCCGGCTGTGACTTGACAGCCATTTTTGCATGTTTTGTTGATACATGGACATTTCAATATACCTACGCTCGGCGCTTTTCCCCCTCTCCAAAACATTTTCCTGCTTTGATATCAGTTGATGGAATATAAATGGGTTGGAGCAGACCTAAGGTAACCACCTATTGGCCTTCATGCATTTCTAATGTAACCTGCTCTGCCCATGCTCACAGAGTAGGGCTGGCTTCATTACTCCAAGGTGCTGAGTCTTTTGCCAGAACCGTGCCTTTTCAGCGAATAGATCACCCTGGTGACCGGGGTCTCTGATACTGTATGCACCGCCTCAATGTGCGAGCTGTTTGCCCAGGTGCCAAAATAATCAAGTTCAGCTCGCATGGCAGGTTATGAAAGAATATTAACTGTGGGAATAACCCGGCTTGACATGCATCGTCCGCGTGCATGATCAAACGATACCCCTCTTGGAAAAAAAGACGTTTCCAGGTAGGACTACCGACAGAACAGCAAGGGCCTGCGATGACACCAACTCAATCATGGTTACTTTGAAGTCAGAGGGGTCGTGTGTTGTAATAGATTTGGACAAAGGTACACCAATTCCCTTTTTTCACTGTTCAACCTTTTCTGTAAATGTATTTAGCATCCCGCTCCTGTAATGGGTTTCCCAGGGTTGGGCGGCAGAGTGGAAGTCGTTGTTGAAACTTGTTTAATGACGTACCACAGGACGTAGAGCAGAGGGCCACATTATTGCCACTATCAATAATACAACATTTTAAGTGGTCCACTTGGACCATGGGCAAATAATACTTCCTTTTTCTACCACTCTCCTGCCTCTCGCCATGAAAAGTATTCTCTCCAATGAGCTCTGATGTGAAGGAATGTCTCCACAAACCGCACTATGTCATGGTTTTCCTGTCAAAGCTCGTTTAAGTTAAACACAGTTAAATTCTGATTTTACAAGCAGGATTTAATGTTTCCACCTCAATGTTTTCCCTGTGATTTCCACCAATCGTTCTGTTTTTCTCTCTTAAACCAGTATTTCAAGCTTAAATTAAGGTCAATGGTGTGTGTTCTGGGTGTTTTGAGGGAAAACAAAACAACCCCCGGTGACTGCAGTGTAACTTCACATCTTTGCTGCCAGGTCTTTAAGTGGAAAACTTCCTCGCCACACAGGCATAAATCCTCCACACTCCTCTGTACATTTCATTATGACCACAGTCCATCAGATCATTTATGGAAAATAACCAGGAAGCATGAAGTTATGTATCTGGTGCCCATCAAGCCCAGGACGCAGCGGTGGAGATCAGCATATAATTGGTTGGAGTGTGTGTACACATGTCTCCCTCCAGTTCCACCACAGTCCTGCAGTTCAACATGGGCTTTGAAATGTGGATTCAAAGCTCGCGGACTTCCCTGACTCACTGAACACCCCTAGGACGTGCTTTGGCCTTTGCGGAGGTGGAAGCCAAATATGAGTCCGAGAAGATGAAGCACCCTGGCCTATCGTCTGTTCCTGGTAGGTGTTCACTCCCAATAAATATTTCATTTTGGTACAAAACAAATAACTTGACATAATTCCTCCCCCCTCTATCTCGCAGCGCATGACAGAGTGGCTGATTTACACATGGAGAGAGGTGTAAAAAGCACACACGCAGTCTGCTCCTCTCCGTCCACCAGCTAATGGATGCAACCCGACAGGCTAACAACTGTTTGCCTTTTGCACGGTACTGATGTGAAGACCCACTTGGATACACCGGAGTGTGACTTCTGAAGCGTGGTCTGTCAATGGACATGTCTTTGCTTGGCTGCTATGAAAAGCTGAAGTTTGTGACCATGGCATAATAATAAAATTGTTAATTACTCTTGCAACTGCCTTTTTAGTAGACGTCATTTAATAGGATACAGGGGCTAAGTAGTTTGACCCTATACCTGGAATTCCATTGGAGACATAAAAGGACAAGCGATTTCAACTTTAATTCTACTGTGAAAGTGCATTAACCACTTAACTATTCTCTCATTTCTTTCTTCACCAATGCTCCAGGCTGTCTCTGCTTTGTTGCGTTTGTCAATCACTGTAATTTGGGCTCCATTTCCAAAAATAATTATCAGGTGAGTGGCAGCCCTTTGCCTGGAGTGCCAACTTGGAAGCGACGTGCCCAAGAGTATTAATTATGCCGCTCAAAATATGAAGTCTTTTAATAGAGAGGCTGACGTGACATCATTGTTTAGAGTCTTTCTTCCCCTACAAACATGACAATCACAGCTGTCCCCCTGGTCATCAGCAAAGATGAGGAGGAATTGTCAGAGGAAGTTATTAACAAGCTGTGTACCATGTGATAAAGTCAGTCAGGCTCTCACTGGTACCATGTCTGTTGATTCGCATAGAGGAGATGTGGAGAATGCATGAGGAGAAAGTCAACAACTCGAGCTACAAAGAGGTGGAGATATGTGGAGCAACGACACAGGGAAAATACACAGGCATTATGCACATAAAGCCCAGGATCTTTCATATCCGTGTACTAAAATTATTGCTGAATGTAGAGGGGAGGCTGTACTCGGAGGAGCACAGTTTGAGCGTCGCCACTCCAATCTCTCTCTCTCTCATTCTGCCAATCAAGTGCTCACAAACAGAGCTGCACTGTAGTTGTGGTTCACATTCAGCAGTTGCTTGTGTGAAACCCTAAGAGGGAGAGACAGCTTCCAGGTCTCATTAGCATCCAGTAGCGGCTAATGCTGCTTCCCTATTACTGTCTGAGGAGCTGAAATTCAGTTGGAGATGAGCACAGCCCAGGGGGCTTAGGGTTGCCAGTTTAATTAGTGCCTGATAATTTCAATAATGAGTGACAATTCATTGGGGCTTTTTAGGTTGGCCCACTGTTTGAGTGCAAATCGATAATCCTCTGTTTCTTCCCCCACTCTCACGAGCAGATAAAGGGCGAGCATGGGGGTGGGGGGCTCAATCCCTTTGCAGGAATTAAATGAAAAGAATCAACTTAGAGAATGTCCCTTTGAAACCAAGAGAAGCCGAGCCTCTGTGGTTTGTTTGCAGTTATTGGATGAGCAGGTTGGTCTTTAGTTGCTGTCGTGGGGTCTAAAGTAAAAACAATTTGCCTGGAGTGATATGGGCTAAGTGAGTGCAGGGGCGAGCGGTGTACACTTGTTTTCTCCTTGGTCAAATCACGTGTAAAGATTATTTGATGAGGATAAATGCAGCCCAGACACTTGGAGAATTCTGCAGTTTGATTAAAATGCGTGTGGACACCTAACCTAAATCCTGTATATCTTCTCCAGGTATGCAAAGCTGTTTAACATACAAAATACCTGTATAATGAAACGATGAGGCATGGTAATACATTCAATTGCCCCTAGGCACAAAAAACATGTTTACCTTGGTTACTTGAGAAAGGTGTTTGAACCTGGTGCGATTCAGTGACAGGCAACACTAGGCTGGCTGATGAAATGCACGGATCCAGTGTGTTGTTCTTGGAGCGCTCTTTCACAGCTCGGCATGCACAAGAATAGGTGAGAGTGAATAAAGTTTAAACAGGCACTTTTCATATTCACAGAAATAATTATGCAAGGTGGCATGCTGTTTTAACTGTGTTATTGTAAATGAAGAATCAATCTTAGGTGTCGTAGGTAGAGCATTAAAATACCAATTACAGCTTAACACCCAACGTCTACCTGACACATGCATCATAATTATAGTGGAAACAGGAAGTTGGAGCCCATTATTTCTTAATGCACCGGGAAGCAATGTCGTAGGTATGAATAAACACTCAAAATTCAGCAGGAAAGAAATTAAAGTTGACAAAAACTGGCAAAAAGCAGCAGATTGGCATGCATATGTAGCGGCACAGTTGCCACGTCAACTCACGCGCACAATGCCAATGTTTTAGCTTCATTACACTCTTCCTTATACGTTCCAAAATATCTCTTGTCCTGAGTCAGCACTCGGGCACGACTATTGAGCCCTATAGAGCGACCGAGCGAAAGTGCAGCGAGAGCACGTAGCGTTTCCTCCCTCAGTTAGCCTGACATATTGTGAAGGACAGTAGCCTAATTATTCGCTGGCAGTGGCACAGACCTGCCAGTCCTCTCAGATTGAGCTGAAACCGCGTCGGCTCCAGTTTGATTCCTGCGTGTCGGCTGTGTTTTGAGTCGGGAAGCATCATGTCCACCGGAGATTTAATTTGGACACTCAGTGGCGCGAACCCGACCCTTATTACTTTAGCCCCCTCATCGCCCTGACCCGCAGTCCTCCCCTATTACAGGCCCTAGAAAAACAGCGATCATCACGTTAATACACAAAACATCAAGAGACTATTGATTGGTGGTTACTTGGCGAATATTCCCTCCATGACATGTGGTTCAGTGCCCCCTTTTGCGCACGTCTGTGGCAGTCTTGTTAAATATTCATGACGAGGTTGCCTTATGGTTCCGCAGCTGAATTTCTAATTGGGCCGTCAAAAGAGATACAACATGCCCTTAAGCAGGACCGTAACAGCGGTCAGCTCAAACAGAAATTGTGTGATTCAGCCACAGGGCTAATTAGCGATTAGCATTCACTGTTTACAAGGGTTTTTACCTGTGGGCCAGGGGATAGTTGAGTTGCGCTTAAATCACTGCGTCCCGCCTTTGAAGATTCAAGAGTCTGCCTGTCCATATCATAATGACTGGGAGGAGAGAGGGAAGCGCTTCAACTGTGTAACAACATAATCATCAATTAAGGCGAGGGAAATGGCAAGAAGTGGGAATTTTAGCTCATTAAAAAAAAAGCCCAGAAGAAAAAGTATCTCCCGATTCACTCTATAGACTTTTTCCACACTGTCTTCTCCCCCTTCTGTCAATGTCTGCCATCTTTAGGAATTCAAATGATTTTGTCTTTAAAGATGAGTGGGAGTCCTGAAAATGTAATTCATGAAGACCTGGGAAGCAGACAGTCCTAATAAGGGTTAAGGCTAAAATATGAATGACATTTGCACCCAGATGAGGTCGAATGGAAATGGGGATTGCCGCTGATTTGGGCCATCTTATTAGCCCAGTTCGTATTCAAATTATGCTAAATGCATTTTTCATCAACCATTAGAACTCTAAAAAGTAATTCCACAGCATATCAACCCGGACACAACAATCGAGGCACAGTTAATGGCAATTTCACAGCACAACAACATAGAGCTTTTGTTTTAAAGTCCCTTCAAAGTGCCCTCTGCGTTGTAGCCCTTGTTTATTATTCAGTGGTCGAGCTGTTTTCTAATTGAATGTATAAAACATCTATGACAAAGCGTAACAAGCCATCGCCACGGTTCTTGTGGCTAACAAGCTCTGAAAGTATTTTACCCTGCCGTCGCTGCTAAAACTCTGACAATGAGCATTTATTTAGCCCGATGTGTCACTTTTATTTGATATTTGGGGATACCCCGTGGCTAACCTAGACCTGCGCCATGTATCATCCCGCACAAGCCACTACTAGGACGTACAGTAGCTCATGTCTTCAGCGAGCTTTTCCAGACATTAAAAAGAATACGAGATTCCCCCAACTTCTTTGAGGCTGTGCTGCCTTTGAGAGAGGACTTCTTTTGAGCATATCCAAACGTTTTCATCTCTCTTATTTTTTCTCAAATCTATTTTCTGACACAAAGTAAGGGAACTCATAACAAACTAATTCGAGCTGTGATATGGAAACGTTGGATTTCCTGCTTTAGCGATGTACAAAGATGGCGGCGAGATGGTCTTATTAGCCAACCATCATTACTCTCACTTTAGGTTGAAGAAGGTCGGACGCATGGAGCACCATTATGTTCCGTGTTTTTCCGCTGATGTAGCTGTACGGCGAGGTGATGTTGAGGTTTTACCGGGGTTAGTTGAGCAGACCTGTCAATGATGATATCCAGACAGGAGGAACACTGCACACTCAGGGAGACGAGTCAACAGTAATTACACTCTATCAGGGGAGGTGGGAACGCACATGCACAATATTTGGGAGTCACGGCCCCAAAATCGGAACAAATTATAACAGTGTTTATTAAATAGCACTTGTACTTGTTCATTTTACAAAACAAATTGGTTTCATTAAGTGCAGATGGAGTGTCTTGATAGATCCACATCAAAAGGGCTTTGGGAGGTCACAGTGCGTTTAAAGCAGTGTTTGTCTGTATATGCCTTCGAATAACAGCTCGCTCAATGACACTTCATTGTAAATTACTGGGAAACTCGGAGGATATTGACCAAAAACTTTCATTTATTTCTATTTATAGGTTTAGGTTCTCTACAGAAACATACATTACACATTATTTTGTTCAATTCTTCAAACATTTCCATGATCAGAAAGGAGCGGATAGAATAATGCTATATTTTTCTGTCCCCTTTTTTACAAAACAGATGGAAATAGTTTTGCCGCTGATCCCTTCTGCATTCCTGTGATTAAACTTAAAATGTGAAGATAATATATGACATAGACTACCTGCAAAGTGACAGATGAGAAGCCTTTGTTTGTTTCTGATGATTATGGCTTACAGTCCATTTTCAAAATATGTTAAGTTTCTGAGTTTTTTTATTTGGGGTTTTTACAAGCCGTTATCAACATTTGATTTGATTTATTTCATTGGTTATTTAATGCATTTTTTGATTGGGACATGCATATACAATCAGCTTGTGGAACACGATAACATGTATAGCCAA